GAAGGGAGTAAAGAAATAGTGTGACGAAATTTGTTAATACTATATTAGAATCGATTTGTAACAGTGTAGTAAATGATCACATTTTTGCTTCCTTCTAAGAATCTAGTTATAAACACAATTTGGTTGCATCTACGTATGGTTATGCATTTTATCATTTATTATACTTGTTGGATTGTTTAATTAGCACAAGACAAAATTGTTGAATTTCTTGATTGAAATTTGATTATGAGGAACTTAAATACCAAAAAGACATCAAGAAAATGCAACAATTAAGATAAAAAAAAAAAGGTACCCATGAAAATTGATTACCAATAACTATATGCAGGAAACTTTAAGATAAAACGGTACATATGATTTAAGATTTACATTTTCCATAAAAATTGATTACCAACAACCACATGCGAGAAACTTTAAATAAAATGATACACATCATTTAAGATTCACATTTTCCATAAATTATGGACAACGTGTAGGAGATAAATGTACACTTAGACCTTAAACCATCACACGAATTGTCACTCAAACAACATTTGAAGCTGTGATTTGGTGGTTGTGTACTAAATAACCATAATTGCTTCCCTCCAAGAATTTGATTATAAATAACATGGCGTGATTGTCTTCTCAGTTACATTTGAACACTTCTCCATCTTTGTGATACTTTATACATCAAACATTTGAACCTGGTTCACTCAATACAATCATAATGAGATAATAGGTTTGTCTACAAGAAGCAACGAATCGTTGAGCCTGAATGAGCCTTTGTCAATACCCGATTAGTCCCTATTTTTCCCATTATAATCCCTTTGGACGATGAGGAAATCAACCATCGAAATGATGGGAGAGCCATTTTTGTTGTTCCTTTTCCCAACCTAGACGAAATTTCAAGTGAAACCTCGCAGACACTGCCTAGTGTACTTTATGATGTGTTTAAGTTCATGGTTATGTATGAAGATGAATCTGACGATGATGAGTCATTGGTGAACGTTCCACCTCATGATATAATTGTTATAAGTTCGGACAATTCTGATAAAGAGAGTAGGGGGAACATTCAAATGTCGACAACGATTCAATTGGGCTATAATTGCGTACGTTTGTGTACTAAATTATGTATTATAGTTTTGTCGGGGATGAACATGGTAATATCTTTACCAAATGTTTTGCAATAGCATCTCCCTTTTGCATTTTATTTGTAGTTACATTTTCTGTTTTGCAGCCAACTGTTGGAATAACAGAAACCTTCTATCGGGACTGATAGTTTAACTATCGAGATGTTATACAATATTTTGATCATGTAAGTATTTTGCTTGTGAACTTAAATACGACTAATGTTTACAAACGATAATCAAATGATAATGATAATGTTAGTTGAAAATGATAATGTAAGTTGAAAATGTACTTGGAAACAGCATGTCTAAATTTTTTACTTTGCAACCAACTGTCGAGAATGATAGAATCCTTCTATCGGGATCGATTGTTTAATTGTCTGGATGTTATGCAATAGTATGTCTATGTAAGTATTTTGCTTGCGAACTTAAACAGGATTCTTGTTTTTAAATGATAATGAAATGATCATAATGCAAGTTAAAAATGATAATATAAGTTGAGAATGTGCTCAGGAACAACATGTTCTCTTATGCATCTTATTTGTAGTCAAATTTTTTACTTTGCAACCATCTATCGAGAATGACAAAAACCTTCTGTCGGGACTGACAATTTAACTCTCAAATGGTATGCAATATTTTGTTTATGAAATTATTTTGTTTGTGAGCTTAAACACGACTTAAGATACCAAAATGATAATATAACTTCAGAATGTACAACGCTATTGGGGGGAACATTCAAAATACAACCTTCAACGACTTTCAGATATCAAGCCTATTTACGTGAGTTGTATTCGAATAGGGGTTGGAGTATGTGGTCTAGTTACGACCAACTCTATCACAGTGAGTGCATATGATAATACCTATTGGAACTGTAATGAAAGTGGTTTTGTCCCCTTCCACTTTCATTCGTCATCCACCTAAACAAACTTTTCTCATATGACATGATAAATTTCAAATGATTACTAATATTCGAAAGTTGAGATTGTAATGGTAAGAACTCTATATAATAAATATGTCGGCTAGCCTAATAGTGATACTTTCGAATATTTAAATCCATACAATAGCAAACTGTGAAATGAAGGATTGAAATGTCTATTCCGACGATTTTCATGTGTCGAATTCGACAGTTAAAATGTTTATTCCGACAGTTTCAAAATATCGAGTGCTATAGTTGAAATAATTTGCACTGCAAGTCATCAATATCGTGCTCGAATGACAATGTTTTTCCAAATAATTTGCCCTGAGACAATCCTTCAAAATATTTATTGGGTTTGACTGGAAGAAATTAATCAAAACATTAATGACGATAATTAATTTTCAACTATAATATAATAACATCTTCCCAAATAAAATAACTCAATACTTCATTTAATATGGAATCTTTCACATTTTATAAGGGGTATTGGTATATTTATTCAAAAATATTTGAAAAAACAAACAGATCAATGAATAATAATTTTCAAAATTTCAAATAAATATAACCATATTGTATTTAACATTTTAAAAATAGTAAGTTATAAGATAAAAATATGAACAATTTGTAATATGCCAATATTTCAAAATGAATGATGAATTCAATAGTAATGTCTTCTTGATGAAAAAAATGAAGAAGATGGTTTAGAAGTTAAGGTTTGTAAATTGTAGAAGAAATTTGTTTATGTTTCCTTTTCAAATTTTTTTATCTTATTTTTTTATTTACAAATTCATATTACCCAAAAATATACATATATCCGTTATTTATAATATACAAATTAAATTATCCCATCATAACATCAATATTATTCAAATCAGGCATTAATGAGTATTAAATGCTCCTAAAAAGATATTACTAAGGTTAGTTTGGACCTTTCACACTAAAAAGTGATATTTTTTTAGCACCATTAGTAAAACTGACAAATTTTGGTGGATTTTCAAATTTAGCCCCTGTTTGTTTCCCATTTTTTTAGTGAGGATGCATTTTGAAATAGTTAATTAATGAAGAATGTATGGTTAAGAAATAAGAAAAAAAAAACTCTTTATTTTGCGTTTATTATTATTTTATTTAAGAATATGTGATTGAAAAGAATAGAGAAAAAAATGTATTTTGAGAAAAATGAGTATCAAGTAGGCCTTAGTGCTATCCATGAAAAATGACATTTTTATTTTTACAAAATGAGGCTTGGAAATTGTAATGAAAATCTGACCTTCCACTTTAACGTGTAATTCCACCGCCACAAATTGGGTTGTTTGATCCACATTTTTCTAGAAAAATGCTTTTTGAAATAGTGTTGTGATGGAAAATTTGTAATTAAAAAATACGAAAAAATTTTGAGTTTACATGTAATATTATTTTATTAAAAATATGTGATTGAAATGATGTCAAATCACTTTTGAAAAATGTATTTTGAAAAAAAATGAAACTCAAACAAGGGCTTAATATTTTTGGCCACGTGGCATTATTTTTTAAGGAACTATTATGAATATTTGATGTAGAGTGGACAAATAAAAATCTGCAGTTTCATCTTCACAGCATAACCTCTCCTATGTACCGAGTTTCTATCTATTCCAAACAAATCTGAGGGTGATAATCAGCACAAAAAACAGAGGTAATTTTCATTCGTCTTCAAGACTTCGATTTTATTTTTGTAGCTATTGAAATATCAAAACGAAGATCTATGTGGAAATGACAAATTAAATTTATTTCTGGGCTATAGGGAATAGGTTTTTCAAGATCTAAAGTATCCTACTTCATAGCTGATTTCTGCATATACTCCTCGTAAGAATTGTAGTTTTTAGTAATATGTCTCTGAAAAATACGAATGAAATCATCCAGTAGTTGACCAGATCCATATGGAATTAGAAACCTATTTCTTTAACAATTTGCTTTAAATACTCTCAGGCAAATAGAATTATTTTATGAATGATAATGAATCACTTGATTGGGTTCATTGACTCAAGAATTGCATTTTTATATTATTGTTTTATCTTCAAGAATTTTTTAAAATAAAGAGTGATACATATTTGCAATTTCAAGAAAACTATATGTGTGCTCTTTATTTTCCTTTTCCCCATAAACCATTATGACTCAATATTTCCCCTCAATTAAAGTTATTAACTAATATATAGTGATGTAATGCATATAAATTCGTGAAATAATATGAAAACATTAAAAGTTTTATATAGAGAGCCGATTTGGCTCTCTATATGTGGAGAGTCGAGTCTGCTCTTTTTGAATATAAAGTTTTTGTTGGATTCCTTGAAAAGATTATTGACTCTCTTAAATAAAGAGAATTAGGCTAACAAAGTGCATTTTGGAGATGCTCTAACAGCACATCACAAGAAAAAATTGCTTCTAATTTTTTATGAATTATCTAAGTATCTATCTTCATATTAAGCCCTTGATTGGTTTAGCTAAAAATCAGGTTTTAGTTTTGATAAAATTTGATGAAATGTATGGTTGAAAAGTTGATAAAAGTCTTACATGACATTTGTGGTTGAAAAAATGAGGGCAAAACAGGGCTAATTCTTGCTGGCATGCTTACTTTTGGATTCCATTGAGACCATCTCAAACTTTGGTGAAAATTTGCATATATACAAAGATAGAAAGATGTTGTACTCATTTCATTTCTGTATACAGAGAATTGCTTAAATTGGAAGCAAGATCAACTAAATGCTATAGTCAGTGTTACAATGCTGGTTGAAATTGAGAAGTTGCTCACAAAGAGTTTGATATGGTGCAGGGCTTCAAGCAAGAGTTAAGAAATTTAAGAGAATCATTGTACATGGTTAAGCAAGTCTTAGAGGATGCTGAACCATGCCAAGTTACAGATGGGACAGTCAAACTATGGCTCAAGAAATTCGAATTTGTTGCTGATGATTCTGATGAAGTTTTGGATGAGAGAAACTATGAACATTTGTCATGTACTCTGGAGATACAGAACCAGATGAAGCAAAACATATGGTTATGCTTCTCTTCTAATATGCTTTTGAGATTCAGATGGGAAATGGCTAATAGAATAAAAAATTTAAATGTGGAATTGAAACTGATAAATTATGAAGCTGATTGCCATGGCTTCCAGATGAGAGTTGCAGATTGTGCTCCTTATTCACCTCCCTTGAGGGAAACTGACAGCATAAGCTGTGATCATATTGTTTTGGGAAGAGATAACGATGCATTAAAAATTGTGAATATGTGGACTAAGCCCAGTAATGAATATGTTACCGTTATTCTTATTGTTGGAATTGGGGGACTCGGAAAGGAAACTTTAGCTTACTTAATATTAAATCATCACCTATAAAGAAGCATTTCGACAAAAGGATTGGGTTTGTGGATCACAAAATTTTGATGAGATAAAGATTTTTCAGGGAGATCTCTCGAATGCTCAGAAGAAAATTTTTGTGGAGAAAGTAGACAAGTTTGGGATGATTTCAAAAATATTATTGCATAAAGGAGATTCCACTATTGTGAATGAAAGAGATGCAAGTGTGCATCAATTATCAATCTGCGTGGTGATCCATATTGCTAAGAGAAATTGCTCGAAGATGAATGTTGGTCCATAATTAGGTCCAATTGTGACATCAATTGTCAACTCATATAGTGATCCATATTGCCAAGGGAAATTGCTAGGTGATGAATGCTAGTATATAATCAAAGCAAGGATGAATGCTGGTCTATAATCAAAGCAAGGATGAATGCTGGTCCATAATCAAAGCAAGGACATTTGTAAGTGGAGATGTACCCTAACTATCAGCCGAGTAGTTTGATAATAAATACGGAGGTCTATCACTCATAGCAAACATAGTTTAGGGAGTTTCGTGAAAAAAGGGAAAGAGGAATGGTCCTCTATCCTACAATCTATTTCAAATTCTGAATGAGATGAAGATAGTTTCTTGCTATAAAAGAAAGCTTTGATTGCTTACCATCTTCATCACTTAAAATAATTAAAAATATATATATTTTGCGTGCTGCTCAATATTTTTCAAGGATTTTGAAATAGATATAAAACAGTGATTCCAGCTCTAGATGACAGAAGGATTATCTTTCAGATAATCAACGAAGTGGTCTGGAAATTATAGCAATAGATATTTTATTATTTTGTTCCAAAATTCCTTCTTGCAAGAGGCATTAAAGGATATTTATGGCGACATTGAATTCGGTTTCAAAATCAGAAAAAAATTTTAAGGAGCATTTCACTGGAGACAACATTCCTCAAGTTAGATATTTTGCTGGGGGAAAAAAATCAATCAGAATAGAAATATAAAGGATCTCGAGAATGAAAAGTGTTGTTTGCGTACATTGTTTTTGCTGACAAATATACCTGGCAAAATGTTGTTGGACCTTAACCAGTGCATGGAGTAGGCAAATGACAATAGTATTGTTTCCAGCACTTAATAATTTGTATATATTAGTGATGCGGAAATCAGTTTGTATCTCTATGATATATAACGACAATCTCACCTCTTTTACAAAGCTATGAATAGATTGGACAAGAGAGCTCACTTGTCTCCCTGACGGGTTGTTTTACAACAATAAAAATTGTCAGGAATTCAACATTTGGAGGTGCCAGTATTGAAGGGAAATAACAGATGGTCTACACAGCCTCCAGCCTGTTGAGATATTGAGAATATGTGAACGCCCAAGTCTCCATTGAGTTCATATCCAAGTGGACAAAAAGGTTCCACATCCATTAGACATTCGGAAATTGTAATATCCTATGGATTGAGCAGCCTGCCAAGTGAAATGCTCAAGTATACTTCTCTTGAGACTCTCAACGGGGATGAGTGCAACAATCTGCATTCATTTCCAATAGATTTGGGGGAATGGCTTCTCTCACATCCTTGTGAATAAACAAATTTCTATGTCCCCAACTGACGAGTTTGCAGAAAGGGAATGGCTTCTTAGCAGCTTGACTGAATTAAGAGTTGGCCCATTTTCAGTTGAAGTGGATTTCAATTCATTCCAAGCAATTCCTGACGGCATAAAACTTCTTCTCTTTTCGTAGTACTTTATTTATATGAGTGGTCTCACTGGAACACTCTGCCATACCAGCTTTAGCATGTCAATGCGGTAACTGTGTTAGATTTGTATGATTGTGGGATTGAAGCTTTGCTTGAGCGGTCTGGGAACTTGTCATCTCTTTAAAATTGGAACTGTACAGGTAAGAAAAGCCAAGGCATATGCATCTGAGGAAGCCATTCAATACCTCACCAAATTACAAGAATTAGATATTAGCCACTGTATGCTATTAAAGGAAGTCTGCACCAAATAGAGGCCGTGATTCTGAGTGGCGCAAAATTTCTCATATTTGTGATGTTCATGGAGACTGATTTAATTTTAATTTGCCTCCATTTTTTGTGTTTTCTCGTGTAAGTATCTCCATTTTCATTAAATTCTAATTATTATTCATGATTTTCCTTTTCCAATCATTCACCCTTATTTATGCAGGTCACATTTTTAACTGGTTGCATATTATGCTAATATGGAGCCCCCTCGCATGTGCCGGTATGTATCAACTGAGAATCCCTCTCAATAATCATTTCTTTTAATTTTTAGTGCTATAATTTTGAATACAATTCCCTGTATAGCTAGTACTCTTTTTTGCTATTTAAAATATAATGTATAATTTTATTATTATTTTTTTATCTAAGTTGTTCATATTCATAATACCTTGTCCTCATGTCTTTAATGAAATACTTGTTAGCCTTGTACTGTATTGAACACTGTTGTAGAGTGTATACACTCGGAATGGTAACTTGGAGATTTTCGTATCTTTTTAGTACCATACATTTCTAGAGTTCAAAAATCGATTTCTGAAGTTTAAAATAGAGATTCAAAAGTCTGAAATCCATTTTAGAAGTTCAAATATCTGAGGAGTAAATTTAGAACTCAGAGACAGATTCTCTCTCAACGAGGGACTTCAGCAAGCTGGTAACACTCACTTTATGACAGAAGTTTTGGTATCATCTTTTAAGGTGAATCGCATAACTTTGAATGAATTTGGACAGTCTAAATTGCTGACTAAGGTAGCAGCTAGTAGATTTCCTTAATTCTTGCTCTTAATCTTGTCAGTAAGATGCGTCTTCATATAGATTTCTTCCAGTGGTTTTGTTATGGCTTTGAAATTTTGCAATTTGCAGCTTCAGATTAGATGGTGGTGGTGGGCGATTATCACGACTAGCTTCAACGGCAGAAACAATGGATTCCTCATCAACAACCAACAGATGATTGAAGACTCTCACTTTTTCTTTTTTCTTTTTTTTTCTTTTTTTGGGGGGGGGGGGGGGGGGGGGTTGATTGAACACGTTGTACTTCCTTAGGTTCATGTTCCATTATATTGTTATATTTTCAAGATTTGCGAGATTATTTCTACATTTGTTTGATTGTGTAATTAGCATATAAGCTTTCCTTCATTGTCATTTTTTTCGACAAAAAATTAATACAAATTCTCATTTATCTTGGATTGTACTGTCTCAGTTACATTCAGTTCATAGATTTTAAACATGGGTATATTCTTCTTATTTATTTATTTTTAAAGAACGGGAACTTGCAGAGAATTATATCTTGTCCAGAATTCTCCAAGAATAATATAACTTCCTGATCTCCTCTTTTCTCTCTTGTACAGAGACTTAGAGGACAACAACAAAACTGCTCAACAGTGAAATCAAACTGACATTGTTCAAAACATTGCTTTGGGTACACAAGAATCAATATTTTGCTTTTGAACATTTATCGTCTGATTAAATTATTTATTTAGTTTTTAAAAATTATTTTTTCCAAATTCGACTTAGACTTAAAAACATAAGAATATAATAAAATATATTGCTCTTGTTTGAATCCTATTTTTAATCAAAATTTATTCTTCAAAAGTGATTTGATCTCACTTCAATTACATGTTCTTCAATAAAATAATATTAAGTACAATTCTAAATTTTTTCTTTATTTTTTAACCACACATTTCTTATCAATAGACTGTTCAAAAATATATATTTTGGACAAGAATAGAGCTCAAACAAGGGCGTAATAAGTAAAAAGATTCAGGACGGTATTACTATTTTGAGGAGGGGAAATGCTGCCATCCACAACGAGAAAATGTTTTATCAAGTTGCTTGTCATTATTTAATTTATTTTGGCCTTTTATTTATCTTTTAATATCTTAAAAATTAATAAGTGAAAAGTGAAATTAAAAATCCTTGAAAGGTAAAGTACGATGCAAATTTATGAATCTAAGCAAAGAATACTTCATCTATAAAATATGGAAAATACCATTTGTACAGAAAAATGGTTTACCACCTTCTTAACAGATTCTCACATTCGCGTGGGACCCGAGTGAAAAAAATGATAAAAAATTGCTCCCCCTCCCTCTAAGAGTCTGTTCTGTCAAGAAGGGTGTCAAACCCTTCCTATACAAACAGCAAGGTCCAACATATAGCTCCTAAGTATTAAGTGATAAAATTCTATATAGAATAAATATGAAAATCTAGACCAACATATTGGGGTTTTAGTCATTCCTTTTATTAAGGTTGATCTTTTAAGATGAAACCCAAAGAATGAAAAACCCTTTTTTCAAAATTAGTTTTCAAATAAAAATTAAAGTAATTTTTTCCAAAAATTCTTTCACGTGAAACAAAAGCAAAATTTATGTCGCTTTAAGTAACTTTCCAAAACTTTGTATTTGTGGCCACGCTTGTTGATTTAGCTTATGAATGAAATATTTCGTCAGTGTATCTAGATTAATTAAAACAATTTTAGATTAAAAAGGCTAGTTTTAATCAAAAGAAAATTAGCTTAAATTTTATTTTTATTTACAAGAGGGAATATTAAGATTGAGAATTAAATTTTAATTCTTATTCATACCAAGGACCATATTTTAAGTAGTTCGTAAATGAAAATAAGACTAATATCTTGATTATTAAATAATGCCCAACGTATTTCTTTTTTGAATCTCTTGATTCTGACATCCTTATAATTATCCAGGTGTTAGAAAGGCCGGTTCTTCCATGAATGTCATTCTCATCTTCATTTCTTGTTTTTAACATTGGCAAAAGTAGATTCTTCATGAGGGGCTAACTAGTGCTCTAATTTTTTAGTTATTCCTGCTGACATGGAATCGAATTCGATCAAAGCTTGCTCGAGTAGGTGACTTGGATACCACAAAAGATCCTCGATTATCATCTTTACATAGAGCTCATTGAATTATTCGATCTCCATCTCTTTTTCTCTAGTCGAGTACAAAAAATATTAGAAATTGTACAAAATACAGAGCAGATTAATTCAAAAGAAAGGAAAAATGCATTCTCTGGTTAGTGCCTGCTGAAACCAAAGGAATATACTCCGCGAACATTGCTCGTTGCTTGATAGGCATAAATAAAGAGAAGGGGAAACCAGGTGTGAAAGGCTTGCACAAAGGAGGCGAACACTCTCCCATCTGGCTAGCTAGAAATCGTTATTGAAGAGCACATGACTAGTAAGTAAAATGTAATACTATGACAAAATCAGTTATGAGCTAGTCCATAATAGGCTGCCACCTCTTAGTTTTCTCAGAATGACCAAATTGCCCCAAAATTCAAAGGGAAATTTATAAATACATCCCGCTTCAGAAGAGTAAGTCGTGCAAATTCAAATATCTCCCTCACAAATAGTCATTTCTCCTATTCTAATTTGAGCATCAAAACTAATGAGTTTAGGAGGCAAAAATCCTAGTTAGGTGAGAGAAATTATTGATCTGATTTCTATCGTCAATAAATTGGCGTCATATGTGTAAAATTGTGATCCAGATAGTAATAGTTGGAGAATGTTTTCACCACATGCTCCTGGATAATGAAAGCACAAACAATGTGTTTTATAATGGACCATTCTATCCTAATGTCTCTAAAGTACAATTAAAGAATCTTGTGCAGGAATCATGAAAGTAACAAAAAAGGAGACATGAGAGAATACTGTTGCCATAGTTGAAACAATTAACCCGAAGTGTAAATTGAGAATTGACGACTCAATTGACCTCGCATAACTGATTACATTTTAGAGAGGATGCATTAAAAGTGAGTAAATACGCTACTAGAAAATGAATTTATTGTGAAGATCAATAACCAGTTTATATATGTAATTATATCCTAGTACCAAAGAGCAAGGAAAAATGGTGAATGTGTCAAAATTTCACAGACTTGAATAAAGTTTGTCCTAAAAATAGCTTTCTACTCACTAGAATTGATTAGCGGGGTGAATGCAACTGTGAGACACGAGCTATTAAGTTTCATGAATACATATTCGGGATGTAATCAGATCTCTATGTATGACCTAACGAGGAAAACACCACATTAGTGACAGATCGAGGACTATACTGTTATAATGTAATGTCCTTGGGCCCATGTGCCAAAGTTAGTAAACAAAATGTTCGCAAATCAGTTAGGAAAAATGATGGAAGTATATATTGATTATATGTTGTTATAATGTAATGTCCTTGGGCCCACGTGCCAAAGTTAGTAAACAAAATGTTCGCAAATCAGTTAGGAAAAACGATGGAAGTTCATATTGATTATATGCTGGAGAAAAGTCTTCAAGTTGAGGGATACTTAAATACTTAGAAGAGGCTTTCAATGTATTATGAAAATATAGGCCGGAGTTCAGTTCACTAAAATGCACATTTGGATTTAAACCTGAAAAGTTACTCAGATAAAATCCACAGCCTCCTCTTCTTTGATAGTGGAAGTAGTTTGTTTCTCCTCATATTCTCCCTTAGAGTCTTTTTTCTGCCAAATTCATGAAAATATAATGTCTTCCTCGTTCTGCTTGTCATAGACCTCATCCAGGTCCACAATTGGAATCATGCCTCCCACATATGTCAACTGAAATTTTAGTGTATTATCGTGTGACAAGGGACTCGAAAGATTTCTCATATTACTTTGAAATTCATGGGCTTTTGAACTTCCTTACAATTTTTCCAAAAAAAAAAAAAAAAGAGAGAGAGAGAATATATATATATTTTTTTGAATTTTCAATAGCAACCATAACATGATCAAGTTTTCATGGTAAATGTTACTAACCACATGTGAAGCTTCCAATGGGGCCACGTAGAAGCACAGCATACACACGTGGCATTCAATCAAGAATAAAGAAAGAAGTATTGGCTAATGCCCCACTGCTGAAGTGCTCTCATCATTTGGGCGAAGTGTTTTTCTCCTTTCTGTTGAACTCCTTCACATCTGAGGTCTGTTGCTCTCAAGAGTAGTTCTGATATGTGTATCTTTAAGAATAATTGATGTGACATCCTTATATAGCAGACGAAGCCACATGGATCTAATCCAATGGACCACTTCAGCTTGGTCACTATATATAGCAGTCTTCGTGACATTCTAAGGTGATGGGTTTTTCATACATAAAAATGGGTTATTGTTTTTCTCTCCATGAATATTTTCTCTTTTCTGTAAATGCACTTTCAATCATAACACATCTTGTTTTACATTATCAACTATATTTAGCCAATTCTTGGGCTCTTCGCTGAAGATCCAAACTCGATTTAATTTTTTCTCTTTTGTGCCATCACAAACAAGCACATAAAGAGTAGTTGCCAGGGTTCCCAGAATTGTGTACACTCAGGATATGAAAGCATGACATTCCATAAGACTAAAACTCATGCAGTGAACATATTCTAATTATACATAAACTGCGAGTTAACAACTCATCAGCATAGCAAAGAAAATTCATTTCTGAACATAAAAAATCACTAGTGCAAAAATTCAAGTCACTAGCATTTGTCTTCATCAATTAAACTAACATACATCGCTGGCATTTGTCTTCATCAATTAAACTAACATACATGTTCTAAGTTGGCCAAATCACCTACTAAGAGATAACCTTTTTATTGCAAAGCAGACAACATTAGATTTCCTTAACGAAAACATTATACATCCAAAATATAAGTGCCAATAGGTATGAACACAATCTTTGTAAATAGTACTTGAATTGCTAATCTTCTTGGTTGGGTATGAACACAATCTCTGTAAATAATACCAGAAGAAATGCACATAAACCTCAAATCTTTACAATTCCAATTTGGGTTGAAGGAAAAATTAAATACACACACATCGAAATTTTTTTCTTCTTCTAGTTCGGGTGTAAGAACAAATTAAATACACACACTATGATAATTTATCCTTCGTCCAATTCGGGTTGGTCGAAATTTGAAATACTTACATATTTATAAATTGTGTCGAAATGGGTCGCAACTTTTGCCCCT